AGGCATGGTGGCAGGTGCCTGTAATCCCAGCTACTAGGGAGGCTGAAGCTGGAGAATCATTTGAACCTGGGAGGTGGGGGTTGCAGTGAGCCAAGATCACACCACTTTACTCCAGCCTGGAAGACAGAGGGAGACTCTGTCTCAAAAAAATTAAAAAAAATAAAAAAATTCAGTTAAGTCATTCTGTAAACTGATGTGCTGTCATCCAGGCTTTGTTGTTCCATTTGTAAAACACAGGCAGAATGTATTTAATATTTTTAAGGGCCCTAGGATTTTTGGAATGGCAAATGAACATTGGATTCAACTTAAAGTCACCAATAACAAGAGAATCGGCCTGTCCTTTGAAGCTTTAAAGCCAGACGTTGACTTTTCCCCTTGAGCTATGGAAATCCTAGATGACACATTCCACTATAAAGATGTTTCATCTACATTGAAAATCTGTTGTTAGCATGACAACCTTCATTAGTAATTTTAGTTGGACCTTCTAGATAACTTTCTGTAGCCTCTACAACAGCACTTGCAGCTTCATCTGGTACTTTGATGTTATGGGGATGACTCTGTCCTTAAACCTCATGAACTAACCTCTGCTGCCTTCAGACTTTTCTTCTGCAATTTTTTCACCTCTCTCAACCTTCAAGGAATTGAAGAGGGTTAGGGTCTTGCTCTGGTCTAGGCATTAGTCCCTAAGGGAAGGTTGTGGCTGGTTTAATCTACCCAGACCACTCAAACTTACTTCATAGCAGCAAGAAGCTTGTTTTACTTTATCATTCATGTGTTCACTGGAGGAGCACTTCTTAATTTCCTTCAAGAGCTTTTCCTTCACACTCACAACTTGACTAACTGGCACATAAGGCCTAGATTTCAGCTTAATTTAGCTTTTGACATGCTTTCCTCAGTAAACTTAATCATTTCTAGTTTGTTTGTTTGGTCAGCATCTCCCTCTGTTACCCAGACTGGAGTGCAGTGGCATAATCCTGGCTCACTGCAACCTCTGCCTCCCAGGTTCAAGTGATTCTCCTGCCTCAGCCTCCCAGGTAGCTGGGATTACAGGCACCTGGCAGCACAACTTGGCTATTTTTTGCTATTTTTAATAGAGATGGGGTTTCACTATGTTGGTCAGGCTAGTCTTGAACTACTGACCTCAAGTGATCCACCTGCCTTGGCCTCCCAAAGCGCTGGGGTTACTCTAGCTTTTAACTTAAAGTGAGAGATATGCAACCCTTCTTTTCACTAGAGCACTAAATGGTCATTGTAGAGTTTTCACTGGCCTAATTTAATACTGTGGTGTCTCAGAGAATAGGGAGGCAGAGGAGAGGGAAAGAGGGGAACCCTCGGTGGAGCAGTCAGAACACACACAATTAAGCTTAATAAAGTGAAGCCCAATAAAATGAAGTGTGTCTGTATTTATATTTTCTTTCTCCACAAAACATTTCCCTAAGGGTTTTATGCATGTGTGAAAAAGGTAGGCAGCGGGGAAGAAAAGAGGAGAGAGAATATTGAGTTATTGCAGGATCAACTTTGTTCCATGAACTTTGTCGGGGCCTTTACTTACTCGCCCTTGCTGCCATTCACCAGCAAATCTCAGTTCCTAGAAGGTTGAGAATTAGTACAGTTTTGAGGACTGGCTCTAGTAAGGCAGATGTTTGAGGATGAAAGAAACTCCTCAGAGATGTTTGAGGCAATCACATGAGACAGCTGGACTAAGTGCCTGGCAGCAGCAAGGTCACAAGGACTTAGGTGAGAGGGCATTATGTAATAAGAGATCAAACTGTACATAACAGGGCCTCCACTAAGTAGCATGGATACTAACAACATAACCTACTGCCAGAAAAGAGAATGAGCAGGACCTCAGAGGAGAAAGCCCTCCAAGCAGCCAAGTGTGGTTCAGGGTAAGTACTCCCTATCACTGGAAGGATCAGGAAACAAAAGGCCAGCTGCCCAGGATAGAAAATTAACCTTAACAGATTAATTAAATACTAGAAGCAGGTAAAGGAGACAGGGAAGGGCTACACGAATGCTCACATTTTGACCTAGCACTTTAGCCTAACTGGCAGCAAAGATTCAAAGTGAGGTACTCGCTGACTTTGAGACTTGACAGGTCCACTGCATTTTTATTCTCTCAAGATAGTAGAAGTGAGTGGCCTGACTCTATTCTGGCTTCTGTTAACTAGTTCTGGAGATAAACTAAGCCTGTCAGAAGAGCTGGTCTTCAGGTAAACAACAGGAGAAAGTCGGCTTGGCTGTGAAGCGTTATCAGGTATTGTACTTTATTCATAACAAATAAATTGATTTTTCATGACCAATGATCAATTAGTATGAGCCTAAAGAGGTCGATATTGTTGGAATTATAGAGATTTAAGGTGTCTTTCAGGTGTAAGCAATGTTTCTTCTGGGTAGAGGGAACAACAATTAATGAGGAAAATGAAAACTAGCTGGGTGCGGCGGCGCACGCCTGTAATTACAGCACTTTGGGAGGCCAAAGGGGGCAGATTACCTGAGATCAAGAGTTCAAGACAACCTGGCCAACATAGTGAAACCGTGTATTTACTTAAAAAAAACACACACACACACACAAAAACCCCACAAAAAACAACTTTCGCCGGATGTGGTGACATGCACCTGTAGTCCAAGCTACTCAGGAGGCTGAGGCAGAATCGCTTGAACCCGGGAGGTGGAGGTTGCAGTGAGCCGAGATCATGCCATTGCACTCCAGCCTGGGTGATAGAGTGAGACTCCATCCCCCACCCCCACCCCTAAAAAGGAAATTAAAATGGCATCAGTGAGTGCCATCAGAGGCTACAATTTTTTTGTACCGATATAAATACATCTTTAAAAAATGATTGAGTATACAAAAGTGTCTGAAAAGGATAAGATAAGAAATAGGAGCTCACAAAGGGACAATAAAAGTATTGAAAAACTAAAAGGATCTCTCAGTTTCAGTCCAACTATGAGACTAGGACACTCTAAAACACTTTAAAAATTTCTAGATGCCCAGAGATTTCTTTGTTTTAGATTGTATTTTTCTTTTTTTTTTTTTCTTTAAGGCTAAAGGTGAAATGCTGTCGTGTTACAATTTTGTTCACTGGAAGCAAAATTGACCAAAAGAAACTGTCCCTAAATTGAAGTTCAAAGTTGGAACCTCATGAAAAGACAGCCTTTATAAATGATCAAGTTGGCATGTCAGGGTAAAAGACAGAAATGTAAGATTAGGCAAAGCAGAATTTTCTCTGCTGTGATTGCCCTTGCTCTTGAGAACTCATTCTTTCCCTTTGACTATTAGCCCATGGCAGTTGACTGAACTGGGGAGGTCAGCTTCCCAGCTGCCCAAGTCTCAGGAAGAAAAGACAGAAACACGTAACCTGAAATGACACAGCCGCTGAGGCAGCTTGTTGCTCTGCTTGCTTGTATTTTGAAGTATATCATGTGAGCTGAATTGCAAAGAATAGCATTCGACAGGGTGAAGGGTTGCCTACTCTGAAGAGAAGGCAAGATTCTTGGTAAGGCAAAAGTCTGAAGGACAAGTGCCTTTAGCATCAACTGAAAGTCTTACTGTATAATATGACCTCAACAAATTTGGACAGTGCTGCGTAGTCAAGAGAGGGATAGCAAACTGAAAGAGCTATCCCTTTTGATTTTGTGGTGTTGCTATCTAGCTAGACTACTTAGGAATTATTTCTGATGACTTTAATTTCAATAAAGCAAGACTAATTCCTTTATCCACATTTCCATCTATACCTTAGCTGGATGTTTGGGGATGGAACAGTCCAATAGTAAAAGGGAAGTAGATTCTTTCTTATGTGGCCTCAAGGAAATATTGTGTATCAGTATGGGACTGGATAACTAGCTATCTACTATCTAGTTACTTTATATATTTGAGCATAAATTTAACAATCAATGATACTGATTTAAGAGACTGATTTTGTCAACCAAATAACATTTCGCAGGTAGGTAAAAAATAAAAACTAGAAATAATTCTGCCTGGCTAATACACTCATCCTGTTGCCCAGACTGGAGTGCAGTGCAGTGACATGTTTATAGCTCACCACAGCCTTGAACTCCTGGGCTTAAGCAATCCTCCTGCCTCGAGGTAGTTAGGACTACAGGCACGCCCTGAGGTCCAGCCATTTTTTTTTTTTTTTTTTTTTTTTTTTTTTTTAAAGACTAAGATCTTACTATGTTTCTCAGGCTGGTCTTAAACTTCTGACCTCGAGCAATATTCCCTTTTTGGTTTCCCAAAGTGTTGGGAATACAGGTATGAGCCACCATGCTCAGCAAACACAATACTTAACACAGTATTTTTCCTACAGAAATTACTCAAATTTTCATTTAAACTGTAGCTCAATTTGCTCATTTTCCAAATGAATGTAATAATTTCCTCTACATAATACAGTGCTTCTGCTTTCACAAAATGATATTAATATATGTAAAATCATTTTGAAAAATGAAATGAAACATTTTTATTAATACTTTCCTATTCCATTTAACATTTATCCCATGCCTGCTGTGTACCAAGTACTCTGCTCACCTATTTACTAGAGTGGTTTGGATATGATCTCTACTTCAAAGAAAAATAATCTGGCCAGGAGCGGTGGT